TGACCACAGCACTTTCTCCAAAGCCTTCTCGGAATCATTTAGTTGTTCATTGGCAAACTTCAGATGGGCCTGTACATGTGCCTTGTGGGCGCTGCAGGATTTCAATCCATTACCATGTTACCAATGGTTTGCTAGATGACTGTGGTCCCAACTTCCTTGAGATCATTAACAATGATCTCAAGGCAATTGGAGATGACCTCTACAGCCCTGAATGTCAGCGGTGACCAAGTCAACTAGATGCACCCCAGAGATAGATCCCCTGCGAACTTGCGAAGACCTCGTCACTTCAACGACCATCGGCACGAGACCATGGGAACCAGACAAGTCCTCTGCACAATCTGACCTGTGTTGCAGCCTGGAATTAAACCACCTCATGCTGGTTTCGTCTGGCCAGAGGAGAACTGGCCCCCCGACTGACACTGGTTTCTCCCAAGGTTTTTTCTCCATTTCTGCCACCGATGGAGTTTTGGTTCCTTGTCACTGTCGCCTTTGGCTTGCTTAGTTGGCGATGCTTGACTGATTGCACAGACACTATTGAAAGAGAGCTGAACTGGATGATGACATCCCTGAACCATCAATGAACTGACTAATAAGATACTTATTTCACTCGATCAAATGCTAATCAATTTATAACCTTTTATGTAATGTGCTTTTCTTTCACTTTCTGTTAAAATAAAGCTATGATAAAAATTATAAACCATTAATTTCTTTGTAAGTGGGCAAACTTACAAAATCAGCTGGAGATCAAATCATTATTTTCACCACTTTATTTTGCCAGCACTTTTTTCCAAGTTAAGTTAAGGGGCCAGTGTTCGGAACCATTTAGATTATATTCATTAATATAACAGACACTTCATTCAGAAACTCAAATGAGGAACACAGGTGATTGATTGTGATGTTTGAACATTTCCATTCTCATGAATAACACTCTCACGTGTGACCGCCCCTAAGTTTCAACGAAAGTGATTTTTTTTTCTGGTAGCTTTTGTTTTTATATTAATATATTACATTTTTATAATCATTATATTCAATAAGAATTTTTTTTTTTAAATAAAATAATTATAATGAATTTTCTTGTAACAGATAGCCCAGATTTTGCTGGAAAATGGTGCTGATCCTAATGCAACGGATAAACTAGAATCCACACCTCTGCACAGAGCATCTGCCAAGGGCAACTACAGACTCATTCAGCTTCTTTTAAAAGAGAGTGCTTCTACCAACATTCAGGACTCAGAAGGAAACACACCACTGTAAGTAGAACCACTGTGTAGCAGTGTTATTGTTCTCATAATTATGTATAAATGCTTCCTCAGAGCAGTTCTGCATGAGCGTTTCATTGTTTTTGCCAGTCATCTTGCATGTGACGAGGAGCGAACAGAGGCTGCAAAACTCCTTGTGGAACATGGTGCCAGCATCTACATTGAGAACAAGGAAAAGATGACGCCTCTACAAGTGGCTAAAGGTGGCTTGGGCTCAATGTTGAAACGGATCGTAGAGGGTTGAAACGGAAGCTTTTAATTAAGCTGCTGTTCAAGTATGATGAATGCTTGTTTGTGAGAGTATTTGAAAGAAATAAGTTTTTAAAGATGAGGAGAAGAATGATGTTGTGGTCAACGTTCACGTTTTGACAGTTTAAAAGCTCATGACTTGATATGTTGGTCACTTTTCTTGCATTTTATTGAGTACATGAGTTTTAGACTTGCATATAACATTCTGATTATTCTTTGTCTACTTCAGCCATGGATGCTTTATTTCAGTTAAACCTAAAGCTTATTTTGATATTAGTTGGTCACTTAAAATGTAATTTCTAGTTTTGTATCCCTGTGTGAAAATCACGATACCATAGTCTATTCTTCCATCTTGATGCTTGTTTTTTTATAATGAAAATAAATTGTAATTGAATAAAATTTACTGTTATATCTAGTCATATCTAAGTGTTGTCTTAAAAGGTAAATGTAGACTCAAATTAATACAGAGTCGTGCCCGTCATGTACACTATCATCCAAAAGTTTGGAGTCACAAAGATTTTTTCAAGAAATGAAGAATGTTAATGTGCAAGGATGCATTAAATTGATCAATTGAAATTGAAAAGTGACAGTAAATACATTTATAATGTTTACAAAAGATTTCTATTTCAAATGGATGCTGTTTTTTGAACTTTCTATTTATCAAAAAATCTGAAAAATGAATCATGGTTTCCACAAAATTATTGAGCAGCAGTAGCAAATCAGTATGTTAGAATGATTTCTGAAGGATCACGTGACAATGAAGACTAAAGTAATGGCTACAGAAAAAATATAGCTTTGCCAAATAAATTACGTTTTAAAATATATTAAAATACAAAAAAATGTCAATTATTATTTAAACGTTATTTAAATTTTAGTGCGTTTCTTTTTTCACTGTGTTTTTGATCAAATCAATGTAGCCTTGGTGAGAATTTAAGAGGCTTCTTTTAAAAACTGACCATAACTTTTGAACTGTAGTGTAGCCTATATTATACAATTATAAGATGCACTTTTGTTCTTTGTCATTCAGCTAGTAGTTCTCACTTTTTCATGCCCGATATACTCAAGCTTCTGGCCATTCGATTTCTTTTCAAGGAAATATTGGTTATGTATTTAGGCAGACTTCCTCTTACAACAACTGCTGTTAAATATTATAGTTCTGCTAACAATAGTTCTACTACGAACTGCTGACCACACACATTTAAAAAAAAACTCTTATGGATGTATGTCATGCAGTGCCGCCAGCTTGTCAGCAAAAGTTAGGGTAGTGGTAAAGATAACTTCCTCAGACACTAATCTACTGTTTGCCACAATTCCCCATGACGATATCTTATAACAGTGAACATGAAAACCCCCTTCTCGTGCCGTTCTTACATTTTGGGGAGTGGTAAGCTGAAATTTAATGGTGGTTACAGCCCTGCATTCTAGTTCCAAATCCTGTATCAACCAGTCTCATGGTGTAGTTATAAGGAACCAGTGTTCTCAACCATTTAGATTGTATTTATTAATATAACAGACACTTTATTAAAAATCTCACAAATGAGGAACACAGCTGATTGATAGTGAGGATCCAACATTTCCATTCTCATGGATTTCACTCCCACGTGTGGCCATCCCTAAATTTGGAAGAAAATTTGTTTTTCTAGTAGTATTTCGAGAATCTCACTTGCAGTCACATTCGTTACATATAGCTGCTTATACTCAGAACTGGTTCAGTCAGTTTTGAAGAAGCACATAAAGTGTATGCGCCACATATGAATATACGTGACCCTTCACAGGCGTAACCCAGATATGGGGAACCATTAGTTTACCTGGTTTCAAGTTGCACTAATGCCCGGACTATAATTTGACTCAATCAAGATAAATGTATAATAAAGTTTTTGAATGTGGAAATGTAGCTGGGTGCAAGTTTCTAGTTACGTAACCGAAACAGGATGTGAACCACAAATGTGAATGGCTATGGCAAAAATATGGCCTCCTGTTATCAGCTTACATGTATTCATTCTGATTTTAGCAGTGTTGGGGAAAGTTACTTTTAAAAGTAATGCATTACAATATTGCGTTACTCCATAAAAAAGTAACTAATTACGTTACTTAGTTACTTTTTATGGAAAGTAATGCGTTACTTTTTAAATCTGGACAGGGCTTGCTTTGTTTTTAAAATAAAAAAGTTCTATTTTTGGCAAATATAAAAGCCTTTTCACACCAAAAGTGAAATGAATAAGCCTCAGGCTGAAGGGAAAGTACATTTAGATTACGTAGCTCGCGTTACTTGTAATGCGTTACCCCCAACACTGGATTTTAGTGAACGCAAATAGTGCCATAGGCTATATAGAGCACACACTGTACATTGCTACACATTTTCCATTTCAACATTTTTTCAGACCATATTTCTTAGTGAAAATTATTAAGGTAGTAACAATTAAAGGTTATATTGATTCATACTAAATTAGTGTTGTCACAGTACCAATATTTCAGTAGTTGGTACCAATAACAGTAAAATTACACCGTTCTTGGTACCATAGCAAAAACTATTGGAACTATTTCACTATTTTAGCTATTTGAAAAATATTAAATTAGTTAATTATTAATGCTAATAATAATTAAGTAAATAACACATTAAACCGCATGTAGCTTTCAAGTATTTTTCAATTGTTTTCATGACAATAAGAAGATGCACGCTGTAAATCACGTAAGCTGGTCCTCCATTGCGCGAATGCTCCGTTACCTCTCCCTCCTCTAATCACGCCGGATCCGTCACCCCACTTTGTTCCGGGACCTTGCAATTTACAAATTAAACACTGCTTATAAGACATAGGCCCACTTTTGTTTCTTCAATTGTATATAAAAAAGTATTTTTCATTGCAAAATGATTAATCGGGAATGGAATGAGACAAGCACATGGCATTGGTGACACCTGAATAAAAACATTCATAATTCTACTCAGCTGAAAATATAGGAATATGTTTGATATGCTCTCATAAAAAAAAAAAAAACACTGCTTGTAGGAATGCATTTTTCTACATTTTATATTTTATAAAACAAAATAGGGTCAATAATATTCTGGAAACACAAACATTTTCGATAGTCTGTTTTCTTTTTTCCATATTTTTCTAGGTCTGGAAAATACTAAAATCAAACTCCATATCTTTCATACTGCGTAGGAACCCTGTGTGTAATACATGATCATTATTCACTGCACCACTCTTATTGTCCAGTAGCTCAATTTCTCATATATGATATTTAGGGTATAATGAAAAATGTTGTGGTTGGCCTTCTTGTAACGGAGGCGAAATAAAAAGTTTAAAAAAGTTTGCCAAAATTCCGACCGACTTTTCAAATGACCTCAAACTACGAATATTACTAATGCAAAGGTTTAGCTCATTAATATTAAATTGCTTGGAAATTGTACTGGAGAGTCCCCTTTAATTAATATTCATGAGACAAACAGCAGCCAATCATCAATCAATTCATACATCAGGTCCTCCCCCACCTTCTGCGTCGCCTACAACTCATTCATTTGCTTCGTCCAAGAGCAGAAGTGAAGACTGACATCTTTCAAGTACTGAAGTTGATGCCGAGTCAATAACGCGTTTCTTGACCGAAGGTAAGCAGACGATAAGGTTTGTGGCATCGCGGAATGTTAGCTAATGCTAACACTAGTGCGCTGTGCTTAATCTTAGCCTGATTGTCCAGTTAAGGTCAAAGTCCGACCGTGCTCTTCGATGCGGACTCCTTTTGAATGTTTTCCCTGCCTTGGTTGTGTTTTGGAACCAGCTGGAACTTGGAACTAGATGGATATATATATATATGCATGCATGCATGCGTGTGTGTATGGATGTTGATGCATACATAACGTTACATGCATAAAATGCATTTGTTTTCCTTGCTTATATTTTTACAGAATATTAACAGGGCAGGTTGAGCATTGTGAAAGTTCTTTATAATTACATCACGGAGACTGTGTTTATATGTTATACATTACATTTATAGAATCCTTAGATTTAAAGGAAGTCGTAATTCAGGATGGAAAGTTATTTCAGTGCTTTTAAGTGTAGTTTTCATTCAGTTCAAATGACAGTAGCAGAAAAAAAGTCCTGCAAGTTTCTAGGAATTTTCTAATACTTAAGTTTTGGGCAGGACGTCTTTTGACTCTTGGAGTGGCATGTTGTGATGTGTAGAAAGGTGTGATAATTGTCATGCTCATGTCAAGAGGTGATGACATAAGGCGCAGTCATTCCACTTGATTACAAAAAGATAAGACATTTGAAGTGTAATGTCCATGATGTACAACCACATGATGCAAAGATGATGATTTAGTTATGTCCATGTCAGTGTAGTCGAGACAGATGAAGCAGTTCTTTAGTGTTCTTAAGCAGTGAGGATCAGGGTGGATGTTATATCGGAATCACCCTACACATGCTGGAGGCGCTGTTCACATGTGACTGACGAACGCCTCTGTCTCTTAAAGTGACAGAAACTCTGAAAAACTCTTATAATTTTTTGGATTTTTTTTTTTTTATTATTATTATAAACATTCCTAGCTTTGCAATCCTGGTTCAAAGACTGTAGAAATCCGTTCAGTGCGCGTCACTGGTGGATGTGAATCATGCACAAACAATATAAACTAGGGCTGCACGATTAATCGCATGCGATATTTAACGCGCATCTTGTCAGAAAGCCGGTTC